TTTGGATCAAAAAACGTATGGAAGCCCGTACGTGTCAAAATAGAGCATATTTTGTAATTTGCGAACACAAATTGCATTTTTTTCCGTTTTCGATAATTATATATTTTCATGCAATTTAATCGTTGATAACTTGTCTCTTATTGATATTTTATTTATATCTTGTAATTTCTTACTTTATTTCTATGTTTTGTTCATTTCCCTCTTATAACTTTCTCCCTGAACACAACCATTATTGTGGCGTTTTTAACAAATACTCAAGTAAACGAATCCATATCTTATTAGATGATTAACACCGGAAATACGTCATGTATGATGTAAATAATATAATAATCTTTGCTAGCTTCTTCATCAGATACTGTGGAAAATGGCTCGACATTTGGGCAGATCTGTCGGAGATACATTGACTTCATCAAGCACGCCCACACCGATTGTACAGTGGTATTTGACCGTTATTCTTCCGAAAACACCCCGTTTAGGACGACGATAGGCATGTTCTTTGCAAACAATACAAATAAGAAAAGTTGATCAACCTGTTGAGGATACAAAAAAAGCAATGTCTGATGCAGATGTCCTGTTGCACGTACTGCCTGCCGTGTCTTCAACATTGTCAAAGCCAACCGTATTTTTATGAAAAGACACCGACCTACTTGTGCTGCTTCTCTTTCATCCAGATTTGACATAATTTTAGCCGCTGTACTTCAGATCAGATCATGATTCCAGAGGGAAAATCGAAAGACTAAAACTGTTATTGGACACGATATTAGTGGGGTTCTGCCAGGTATTCACGGAATAAGCAGCTGTGATACCACTTATAGGATGTTCGGAATCAGTAAAGCTGCAACGCTAAAGTAGTTTCGAGATGTTGAATTCTTAAAGTCACAATCACGTGCCTTTTTCAAGCAAAGTACGAAAGCACAGATGATTAAGTCTGGAGAACATTTGGTTACTGCTGTATACGGCGGAGTGATTTATGAAGGTCTGGTGATCACAGGGCAAAATAATTGGAATTAGTGCGTTTATAACAAATTACATTCTATTAAACCTGAAATCAGTGAATGGCATCCTAGCTACAGAGAGGCGCCGAGACGAGGTTGTCATTGACCGTCTCCGGATGGGTCATTCATACATAACCCGTTGTTATTTACTGAAACCTGATGTCCAGACTCAATGCATAGTGTGTCAGGAACCATTTACAGTATAACACTTGCTATTGGATTGTGTCGACCTTTAGTCAACACGAGAACATTTCTTTATAACATTACATGTCTCTTTTCGAAAACATAACTGTCTTTTCAATTTCAGGCTATCTGAAAGCTGCTGGTCTTTTTAATAAAATTTGAGTCTCCATAGCCACTTTCAATATTCAAATTGACGTGTTTTTTTCCCCCTTTAAGTCTGTTTGATGTTTTTATTTTGCATATGTTTCTGTCCATTGATGGCCCTGATGACCTATCCTGTGGTGATGGGCCGATGAACATTTAATACTAATAAGATCTGTACCTGCTAAGATATCGGAAGTTTTAACAAACAAAACATGTGTTCAGATACACACGATAGTCACTTTGGCTGTCGCTAGTTTCCATGCATGAGGACATCATTTTTTGTCTACATATGGTTAGTTTTCGAGTTAAAACAGCATCAGAAAACGTATTTCAGACTCAAAGTTGATTTTTTTTGGTTACGTTGTTAAAATATGGCGTGTGCGAGGACTATGCATTCGGTTTCGGAATGTCGGAATAAATTAAGCCTATAGAAATACTAATATTCATTGAAATTTCAAAACCCATTAAAAATGCTAAAATGGTGACACAAATGTTCATTTTAAAGGGAAAGATATTGTATAATTCAAGTCGTGATCCGTTTTTGGTACTGGCATTTGCAAAAACCGGAAACGCTAATTGGTGACGTCATAGTGTTTTATAAAAATCTCACGTGAGCCCCAGGTCTTAATTGAGTTGTAAAGAACAGCTACAACCATATATGCATATATATCTGTCTCTGAATTTATAATGAATGCATAAAATGACAGTTTGGTAATCCATTTTGGAAACTGTCATCCTGAGACCTTGATCTCTTGGAGTCGGCTAGTCATCTCTTCCATACAAGTTAGACGATATATTGTCTGAAAACTAGTGATACTATTCGACTTCGAGATACATTTAACACGCTTTAAAAACGTTTTACGAGAGTTAAATAATTACTGTATAGAACTTTCAGTTAATTCAGGACTCTGATCTAACAAATCCGATTTAATGTCATAAATCCGATTTAATGTCTATAACAAATTGCTAGTCGTCCCAAATATTACTAATTTAAACACGATAAAGTGTTTTATTTGTTATTTTGCTTTCATTTATGTATATCGCTCAAAAGTATTAAAAAATGTATTCATTGCTTTGGATAATTTGTAAAACCGGGTCAACATAGTACAGTATCTGTTTCATCATATTGTCAATGGATATGTGTATGGAATATAACAAATTGCTAGTGTGACCTTTGACCCCAAAAAATTAACCTTTCCCATTTTTTCTGTGTTTTCGAATTTGTATGCGTGTTTAACGACACACTATAGATTATGATAGTGAATAAAAAAAAATCTTTTTCGATTAGTTTGAGGTTCGGCTTAATTTGGCGTAGAATGGTGAGGATCAGGTAATATCTACAGAACAACTTTGGCGAAGTCTACAAAACAACATCATAAACATCAAATTTACTATATAGGAGTTCTGGTAGTGCCTGCAAAACAACTAAACTTTGCAACCATAAAATATACCATTTAAAATTACGGCTACATAGAAGCATTGCATTTTAAGAAAGGTACAATGTATGCCAAGAGGAGATATAACAAGAAAAACTAAACGAACGGTCAAACGTTACAGTTTTTACCACAAGACGTTTGGTTTGGTTTAGTATTGTTTAACGTCCTATCAACAGCTATGGTCATTTAAGGACGGCCTCCGCTGTGTGCAAGATGCATGCGTGTGGTGTGTGCGTGTGTGTTTTGGATGCTGCGATATGTTCGTGTTTGTCTCCTTGTGATAACGCGGAACTGATCCCGATTTTATAGTGCTACCTCACTGAAACATACTGCCGACGACACCCAGCAGGACTACCCCACGTGGTCACATTATACCGACAACGGGCGAACCAGTCGTTCTACTCCTAAATTTTTGAGCGTTAAGCAGGAGTTGAAACTAGCATTTTAACAGACTCTACCACGATGTCGATGGGAGTATGAAAAAAATGAAAGGCCTGTTCGTAAAATAGATTGTGCATCGGAGGGGTCCGCCATCAACATATGACGTCTTCTCATAAAAATATGACAGCCAAATAAAAATGTTAACAAAAATCTACTTACTGAAATAATACAATATAAAATGAGGAATACACGTGTTATTTTCACTGATGCAGTGACCTAACTTATCTATTATCGATCAATAAATCGACCAATTTCAGTCTTACAATTCCGTCTTTGCGTACTGCAGAGTTATCTTCTCTAAGGAGCAGGTATTAATTGTTACGTCATTGGTTTGTGCGAGAAAACTACGTCGTTTTCTCAAAAATTGATGACGTTACTCTCACAAACAAGTGACGTAACAATCAATACCTGTTGCCAAGAGAAGATAACTCTGCAATACGCAAAAACGGAATAATAATGACGCGGATAGAACGTAATCCACAACTACATTATATTTTTATTAAGCAGTGATTGTGGCGATACCCCAAATAACGTGTACATGGTGCAGCCATATATGAACTTTTTCGACTCGGAACACAGGCCATACTATAAATCACATATTACACTTAACAGTCTAATAATGTATTCAAAAGGATACATTTAGATATTACTTATACGTGGCCATACAGTCGGGGCTCGGAAGGAATAGAAAATATAGTACATGTTTTTGAAATAATAAAATCATACAGGTGTGTTTGACTTTAACCGGAAAATCTAGGTTATTATTTACTTTTTACAAAAATATCCAAAGAAACTGAAATATTCATGGGTTCGTGTCACATAGTTAATCATTGTCTAAACTCTTCAGCAGCATTAAGTTAGAACAAAGAGTTGTTAGAGAACATCTCGAAACTATTTTTTAAGCGTTTATGTGATATTTCAGAAATTTTGACCTAATTTCGTATAAAAAAACGAAATACACGATTATGCTCTATTTGTTACTTAAAACAATTAAAGACGTTTCAAAAACACTTTCTAAAAAGTGATACAAGAATTATTTGATACATGTGTGGAAAGTATCATATTCGAATGAAATAATGTAATATGCAATATTAATTATACATTATATAAATAACGTGCAATACTTCATATTGATATGCACTACGCATACTATGTTAAAAATAATTAAATTGTATTAGATTTGCAAATAATTGCATTAGCTTCAGCTGTTAAAATGGGACATTACTTGGTAAACAAGACATTAGGATCAAGAAAAAACTTGTTTACGATAAACACTATGTAGCTATGCGTTATGATGTTTATTGTTTAACTGATCCAGACTGTTTCCTAATACGTGTAGAATAAATAACAGCCAACAATTTCTATAAATATAAAACAAATTCCCTATTTACACAACCAATAAAATTTTCTATGTGATGTTTAGAAAAAATCCCTTATGTTATTTGATAAATTGACACCAATAATGTGTCTCCCGAGACATGAGTTTTCATGTGACCGTAAATGTTGCGACGATGTTTGAATTTAAACAAATACACTTGAAATAAAATACAATGTGTCCCTCTCCCACCCCGATATCCGAGGGTCTCCGAAGTAATCACAATGACACAAATAAGTGACCCTAGACGTTATCTGACCTGAATTTCAGAATATAAATCGCTTCACAATTTTCTTTCCAAATACCTATCCGATCACGGTAGGGAAACGCTTTCATAGCATTTCGTCCATGTTGTGAAATATTTTTAAAAGGACGATAACGTGTGTATAAGAGCTGGCTCTACGCACGAAAAACATACACGAGTAACAGGACAGCTGATAACGGATGACCTTTGCGTACGGTACGTTAACAACAGGTAAGTCGGCGCTCACAATAATGTAACATTACTAAGCATTGTAGCTTAATTTGGTAGTAGTAGTAGTAGGAATATGTTACATTACATACCCGGTCGATCTGTGGTGTTAAAGGCAATACATCGATCTGTATTTTATGTTTTGATGATAAAATATGTATTAACCAGAAGTCCTTAGTGTAATTATTGCTTTAACTGTTGTTATCTATTTATCAAGTCGATGCATTGAAACAGTAATAAAAGATTCTGAATATTGAGGCGCAAGTTTACGGTATGGTAAAGTGACGTCGTGATTCTTAGTTTTACGTTGTTTTGTTCGGTTCATGATTTTGTGAAGCAATATTGAACATTTATTAGGGTTTCGGATGATCAAAGTCTTTCGGCAAACATCAAGTGCGTTTAAAGAACACCAAAAAGTGTGTTTAAAGCAAAACCATACATATGTGTTCATCTGACGTCTTGCACTTGTATATCTTGCGAACTTTGTGAAATACATACAACCGTGTGATCTGAAGCGTTAGATAAACACACGTAAAGTATTTCCAATGTTCCATATAGTAAGGACGATGCACAGATTGGTCGTTGGATACACCATGACAAATGTCATTCACCGTTAACTCGTCGAGTTACGAATGTTGACCATTTTGTTGCCAGTCTTGAAGTTTCTATGATTTGTATAAGCCTCGCTATTAATCAGGACTAATGAATGAACTGATTTATCATTTCCTAATTCCTATCTGGGAACAGATTCATATTTGAACCAGATGCAATGTTGACGTTCTCGTATATTGGATGTCACTGTTTAGGATTTATAGCTGAATATGACGAAAGACACACGCGATGCTCGGATACCAGTGGACAAGGGTTGGGCTTGGATTGTGCTGGCTGGTAAGTATGTTTATCGAAATGTATAATGTTTATAACGTCTAAACGGTCTGTCAAAACGGCACATGTAATGGACCTTTAATAAGTTATTGAAAGAAAGCAATCAATCTCAACGTTTAAACTTTACTTCATGTATTACTTGTATCTTGCATCCAAGTAATCCTTTTTTTTTAAAATTGGAATATCATGAAAACCATTTGAATCCTTTCTGATTATTTGCAATAATGTATTTTATCCACCCAAACTTTTATCATTCAACCATATAAATACAATAGTATTATTAATAATTTACCACTGAAGGTGAGCTATTCCTCTTGGAATCTTCAAATCGTAAAATTTTGCCGGAGTATCATAGCCTTGTTGGTCATTGTTCATCGTAGTATTCATACTGTATTAATTCGCCAATACACTAACGTAATTATTTAAAATACTTTATTTATCATATTGAATAGGCTGCTAATTATATATTTGTTTGCCATTTCAGGGTCGTTGGTCATAGCCAGCATCAACACGGGAACAGAGAAATCCTATGGAATCTTTTTCATAGAGTTCCTCCGGATGTTCAAAGGCACAGTGTTCATGACGGTCATGATTAATACTGTGTTGAATGTAGTGTATTGTTTCACAGGTAGGTTCCGAAAGGAAAGATTTCGAGTGTCAATTTTGCAAATACCCGATTTAAAAGAACAAAACCTTTTCACTAGGTTAATATCTAGTATACAATGTACATACATGTCTAAAACATCGCGGCTGTTAGGGAAACAAAACTCCAGTCACTAATGATGACAAATTGTGACAATCCGGTGAAATTGTGTTTCAAGATGATCTAATCATGTAAACACAATCGTGTTATGTTGTGAAGATGTAAAAACGCATTACCAAGCGTATGTCATGTAGGACGTTACTGTATAGATATTGTTGTGTGGTTTACATACATGGCCAACGGACGATGGGGCATTTAAAGGCCACTGAAGTGTCTCATCACTGACATCACTGAAATATAATAACCTGGACACAGTAGCATGACACTCCACCCGGTCATGTCATACTGATAAGAGGATAATCGGTCCTTACCGCAACCCATTTTAAGCTAAACACAAAGCAAATATCATTCAGTACCATTTTTCAGGACAAACATGTTCACTCAATGTATAAATTGTCCATGAGTGTTGACGACGATCACTTTCTTTTAATTTTAGTTTTATCTAGTTAAATATTTACATATTTTTTATTGTAATTCCGTACATCACAGCAATGTGATTTCTATGTAGATATACTATATCTTTTCTGTAATTTTACTGGCACAGAAAGTGAAATTTGGTTTCTATATTGCTTTACTGCCAATCGACAATTTAAGACACGTTAGTCTAAACAGAACCAAGAATAGACGTTTTAAAAATGATTTCTAATTTATAACACGTATTTGTTTAAAATTGGTGCATTCGACTCCTAAAACATTTACAAAGAAAGTGAAGTAAATGTAGCAAAGCCAAAAACTTTTAAACCTTATATAGATCGTTAAAATGATGTCCTTAAAGGTTAGTGAATACGATCCGATAAGGAAAATAATAGGTTTATTCTGATATTTCAGCGACGGCAGTGTTAATGATTGGCTTGAAGCGACTAAGCGTTAGGACGTCGGTCTTCCTGGGAATAACTCTTTGCGCCCTCGGGTATGGAATCAGCAGTTTGGCAACTGGACTGGAATTTCTGATAGCATCACAGAGCATCCTTGTAGGTATGTAGCTTGTTAAAAACATCGAATTGCTCTATGGAGTTTTTTTTCACTTTATAACCATTGTTGCCTAATTGTCAGAATAACATGACCGCTCCCGGATGGATTTCAACCATCCTGTGGTTGCATTTCGATAAACCTCTTATGTGATTGGATTCTTAATGGCCCATCAACACTTTAGTGCCAACAAAAGGTAGATAAAACGGGTTAAAGGAAATTACATCAAACGACCTTGACGGCTAAAACGGAATAGGTTTGTTTGAGGTTGAACGTCCTCGCACTGCCAAGTTTAGATAGCTGCACAGGGAGAAGGAAAAGTAGGTACGAGAGAAAAGGAAAGAAAGAATTCAAATGTTGGAATGGAGGGCAGCAGATCAATGCTTGTCTCTTTAATATCATTTAAGTAGACTACAAGCCAGGTCGGTCGAGAAATATCACAACATTGACATTATAACATGACACTTTACCCAGTCACATTACAATGCAAATCGGCTACCACAAAACACCAAACCCGTTCAGCTTCGGGTGCTGTAGCCCATACCATGAGCTTACGAGCCGATTTATGTGGAACCCTCCTGCAGATTCGGGGGTGTTTTTCCTTGTCTTCTATTTAAGGGACATTGACAAAATCAAGAATAGACCTGCTGTATCTCACTGCACGTGTATCGTAAAATATGACATTAAGTTGCAAAAGTTTTCGTTTCCTATCTTTCCTGTCGTCTTCCCTTATAACCAGATCCACGCTATCGCAAGGAGACAAGTACATCAACGTCTCAAGTACACGCAATTAAGCTTAAATAACACACATGGAGATATTTTCTTAAATTACGTCCTTAAATTACCTTAGCTGTTAATAGAACATTAAAAAAATAAACAAAACATTCTATCTATTTATATTCAGGTAGATTTTTAGGTCACCTGAGACAAAGTCTCAAGTGACCTATTGCGATCGCCTTTTGTCCGTCGTCGTCCGTCGTCCGTCGTGCGTCCGTGAACAATTTACATTTTCGACTTCTTCTCCAAAACCCCTGAACCAATTTCAATGAAATTTTGCAGGGACCTTCCATGGACAAAGGTCAACAAAAGTAGTTGCCGGTTTAGTCCTAAGCCCCCAGGGGCCTGAGGGGCGGGGCCAAAAAGGGTCAAATTGACTAAAATTTAAAAAATCTTCTCCTCCAAAACCCCTGAACCAATTTCAATGAAATTTTGCAGGGACCTTCCATGGACAAAGGTCAACAAAAATAGTTGCCGGTTTAGTCCTAAGCCCCCAGGGGCCTGAGGGGCGGGGCCAAAAAGGGTC